CAGTGGGGCCAGGGCATTAGAAGCCCTCCCACTGTTGCCCCCCCCCCAAGCACTAAGAAGACAGAGCATCACTTGCCCCAGAGCCCCTATCTATACCTTGTGGCTAATAGCCACTGATGGACCTCTGCTCCATATGCCTATCTAATTCCTTTTTGAAGAGCCTCTGCTTTGCGTGCAGAAGGTCCCAGGGTCCATCCTTGACACCTCCAGTTAAAAGGACCAGGTAGCAGGTGATGTGAAAGACATCTGCCCAAGACCATGGAGAGGCACTGCTCATTAGAGAAGACAATACTGAGCTCAACAGACCAGTGGTCCAAATCACGATAATACAGCTTCCCGTGTATGCATTTGGTCAACATGCCTAATAGCTACTGATGAACCTGCCCTCCATGATTTTGTCCAATCCCCTTTTAAAGCCAGCCGAACTAACAGCTCTCATCACATCTTGTGGCAGGGAATTCCACAAGCCAAAATTAATCTTTGAGTGAAGGTGTACTTCCTGGCCACTTTTGCTATGAATTAGTTGCAGAAATTATCTGGAGCACTTTGCTCGGCAGGCTTGAAGAGACCTGTTTGTTTTTTCCACTGTATCCCAGATTATACTCATTAAAAGCCAAACTCTTAATTAACCACCTTCAGTAAAAGCTTCCTCCAGGTGGTCAAACTAGGAAGTTTTCGACAAGCTCGTTCTAGGGAGACAGCAGCTTCTACAGGCATGCAGAAACACAGAACTTCTTACATTACTTTTTTTAAAAAAAAGAAGTCTTTACGGAAAAAAAATTAGGTGATTCAGAATCAGTGGGTTCTTACTTACTGTGTAAGGGGAGGAGGAGGAGGAGGAGATTGGATTTACTACCTTCACTACCCAAAGGTGTCTCAGAGTGGCTTACAAACTCCTTTCCCTTCCCCTCCCCACAACAGACACCCCGTGAGGTAGGTGGGGCTATGAGAGCTCTTTCAAGAACAGCTCCGACAGAACTATGACTTGCCCAAGGTCATCCAGCAGGTGCAAGTGAAGGTGTGGGGAACCAAACCCGGTTCTCCCAGATTAGAGTCTGCACACTTAACCACCACACCAAACTGGCTCCTTTCCAGCCCCAAAGACCTGTAGAAGGATTATCTTGTCCTTAGGTGAGCTCTCTTGTATATTTCTAGGCACGGGAAGCATACTGGGGTAGAGTGGAAGAGATAATAACTGATCACAGGAACCCTTCTGGCTTGTGAATGACCCAGGGCTGGGACAAGTCTATCATTTATTTATTTATTTGGCTTTATATCCCGCCCTTTCTACAAGCAGGCTCAGGGCGGGTCACAACAGTTAAAATACAAAAATAGCAATAAATCCAGGCACAAATACAAATTCATACAAAGTTAAAATTCCTAAAAACAGCAAATTTGATTTCCAGTATTCACAGCGGCCTCCGGTGCTGGGCATATGCTGACAAAGATAAAGACCCACTCAACGGATGCAATGGCGATCTCTAAAGGGCAGCTCACCCAGGCAGCATAGGCAGAGGAGGCCAGAGCATTTAGATGCCCGCCGCCTCGCGGAACAGGCTCTGTGGAATTGCATTAAACCCTGCAGGGCCCCGATCTCAAGTGGGAGGCCTGGCCGGAGGCTAAGTGGATGTCTTTCAGGCCAGGAACGATCACCAGATGCTGCTCAGCAGAGCGCAAAGCTCTACGGGGCACATTGGGGAGAGACAGGGTATTCGAAAATAAAACTGTGGTGAGGCTGGAGAAAAAGAAATCAAGGAGAAGATCTGTAAGCTTCCTAATTTCAAAGCAGAGAGGAGAATTTGGGAGTAGCTGAGCATGGCACAGAAAGCAGAACATAACATTAGCAAACCTATTATAAATGTAAAAAAAAAAGGTTCCCTGGCTTGAAAGCTAATCGAATCCGACTCTAGGGGGCGGTGCTTGTCTCCATTTCCGAACTGAAGAGCCAGCGCTGTTTGAAGACGTTTCCGTGGTCATGTGGCCAGCACAAGTAAACACCGAAGCGCACAGAACGCTGTTACCTTCCCAACGAAGCGGTACCTATTTATCTACTTGCAATTTCTTGCTTACAAACTGCTAGGTTGGCAGGAGCTGGGGCCAGAGACGGGAGCTCTCTCCATCACATGGCACTAGGGTCTCGAACATACACCTTCCAGTATGCACCTCAGCGTATAAACCTCTGAGCCACCACGCCCCCCCCATTTTAAATGTACATTGTATCAAAAAACAACCCCCAGAATCATGTGCAATAGTAAAACCACAGATGGAGCAAGCATCCCATCCATACTTGGAGGAGCGCGCTTGGGATATTCCTCCTATCTTCACAAAACAGTGGTGAGGCAAGCTGGGAGATGGAACTTGGTGGACTATTCACCAAGCACAATTGGCTAGGCTAAACCTTAGCATACTTTTAAGCAAAACTAGAAAAGATCCCTGTTTTAGCTTTAGGGAGAGTATATGAATGTGATTTAAAAGTATTTATGTTGCACAATATTTTATTTCAAGCTATACAGCCTGGACCAAAAAGACAAACAACAGCAACAACAAAAATCTACAAAAGTCTTATATCAGCAATAAAAAAATCACAGTCTATCATAACAAAAGACACGAGTAACCTAATCAAAAGCACTGTAATAAAAAACCTAAGCATCAAAGGAAAAAAACACGGTAATATAGCACAGGGATGGGGGGGTGAACAAAACCTTTGGATCACAGAGTATGCTGGTTACTTGTAGTTCCCCACTTTATGAATCACATGGATCAAGAGATCAGCAAATGACCTTAGTTGATCATCTTCATTATTATCATTATCATTATTATTAAATTTGTATCCCACCCTATCCCACAAGTGGGCTCAGTGCGGCTTACAACATAAAATCCATTAAACAACCAAATCAATGAAACAATATGTGGCACAATAAACAATAACAAACCCCGTGCCTCATATCAGGTGGATATGGTATCCATACAGAATATACCTAGACAATAAACAATAACAAACCCCGTGCCTCGTATCAGGTGGATATGGTATCCATGCAGAATATACCTGGAGAACCACGATCTACTAAAACAGGTGATGATTTTTCTCATTTTATAAGGCCTGACCTTTTTGAAACCAATCAGCAGCTTGCATGTTTCCCTGCTCATATCTGGTAGGTGTGCAAAATACACTTCCATCCAAAGAAGAGGTTTTGCTCTGGAAGGCTTTAAAGATCATGACATACGACTACATGAATTCAAGGTCCACATTCTAAATATTTCATTTATTTATGTTTTACTTCATTTACACCCCACTTTTCTCCCCAAGGGGGCCCAAGCAACTTACAATGTTTTCTCCTAAATTTTATCCTAGCAACATCACGGTGAGGTAGTTGGGCTCAGCGTCTATGACTCCCAAGCAAGCCTCCACGGCACAAGTGGGGGTTCAGATCTGGGTCTCACAGAACGTAGTCCATCACTCTAACCACTGTACTATGCTGGCTCTCATATATAGAAATGATTTGCACAAGCGTATTCAAGCACAGTGATCACAACATACAACCCCACGGGGGAGGCAGTTTCAATGCCGGTTAATGTCACTTGGCAAATAGGAAACCATGGGGGAAGGGAACCCTCTTCTCAACCCACTTCAAATTTTTTAACGTTATGTGCACAGCCAATAACTCCTCGTCCAGAATTGTCAGGGGAGTGGAGATATTGGAAACTATGTGATAAGCCTTGTTGTTGTTCAGTCGCACAGTCGAGTCCGACTCTTCGCGACCCCATGGACAAGATCACACCAAGCCCTCCTGTCTTCTGCCGTCCTCTGAAGTTTGCCCAATTTCATGTTCATTGCATCTATGACACTGTCTAACCATCTCATCCTTTGCCGTCCCCGCCTTCTTTGACCTTCAATCTTTCCCAGCATCAGGATCTTCTCCAGTGAGTGCTCCCTTCTCATTTGGTGGCCAAAGTATTTGAGCTTCAGCTTCAGTCTCTGGCCTTCCAGGGAACAGTCAGGGTTGATTTCTTTTAGGATTGACTGATTTGATCTTCTTGCAGTCCAAGGGACTTTCAAGAGTCTTCTCCAGCACCATAGTTCAAAAGAATCTATTCTTCGGCGCTCGGCCTTCCTTATAGTCCAACTCTCGCAGCCATACATGACTACTGGGAATACCATTGCTTTGACCATGCAGACGTTTGTTGGCAGGGGGATGTCTCTACTTTTTATCATGCTGTTGAGGTTCGCCATCGCTTTCCTCCCAAGGAGCAGGTGTCTTTTAATTTCATGGCTGCTGTCACAGTCTGTGGTGATCTGGGATCCCAGGAACGTGAAGTCTGTCACTACTTCCACAACTTCCCCTCTATTTGCCAAGGAGTGATGGGGCCGGATGCCATGATCTTAGTTTTTTTGATGTTGAGCTTCAAGCCCACTTTTGCACTCTCCTCTTTTATCCTGAGCAAGAGGCTCTTTAGGTCCTCTTCACTTTCTGCCATTAGAGTGATATCGTCTGCATATCTGAGATTGTTGATCTTTTCCCCAGCAATCTTAATTCCCGCTTGTGATTCATCCAGGCCAGCATTTCGCATGATGTACTCTGCATATATATTAAATAAGCAAGGTGACAATATACATCCTTGTTGTACTTCTTTTCCTATGCTAAGCCTGCAGTAGGTTAAAGTTCAAAGAAACCAAAGGAAGTCATTCTGTGATGCTCTACAATCGTAAGACTGTGCTTTTTCAGTTTAATTTATGTCAAACGAACTAATCCTTGGCCATGGATGTTGTGTGCGAAGGCTGGAGCTGGATTTTTTTTAAGTATTAAAAGAAGCAGCACCATGTAGAGCCAAGTCCCTCTTAAAATGAACTTTAATAAATGGAAAACCTGACATAATCTGGTACAGAAACATCTCCAGCAGCCAAAGATCAGCCATTCACACTTTCACTGGTTGTATAGGAGATGTGACAATAGCATATAATTAAAAAAACCCTCATTTTACAGCCTAGCTGTAAAATTTGTTTTTAAATACTTTCAAGTGGACAGAAACAATGCTCACTGTTATATCCATTTTCTATCATCTGTGTCAATATTCAATCTGGAGACCTCCCCGAACTGCAACAGTTTTTACCCCATCTATTAATGGCTTGTGAGGCAAGTGGTCTGCCCACCACCACCACGGTTCAAGCTTCAGGACTGCAAACAATCCACTTTAGAGATGGCATCAGCAAAATGTCAACAGCACTCAAGCTCTGCAATTAGCAAGATTTATTTTGTGCACGGTGACAACAACGAAGCCATGGAGCAAGTGAAAGCCAAGCCAGCTAAAAATGCACGGCTCCACCACTGGATGGTTTTTTTGGCCTCTTTTCACTCCGCACACAAAACAGACGTCCGACTAAGAGTGATGGTGGGATCAAAGTCCCTTCTGCCTTATAAGTAATTCATTTTTTTTTTCAGAGAGCGTCTTAGGCCCCCAAGGCTCCCCTGAAGGGGGGGCGGGGAGGAGAGGAGAGACAAGAGTTCAGTTATTGCTATTCCAAACACAGGGTGAGGCCCAGACAGCCTGCATACACACACAAATCAAGCAAGTCGGCTTATAATACCTGCCTTGAACTCAGAGCAAAACACCAGACTTCCCACAAACTGAGGGGTGAGGGGGTCTGCATGCAAAAAAACCCCTCTTTATAATGCAAGTGTGGAGACAAGGGGTGAAATCCATCCCCCAGGGAGAAAAGGATAAACAGTTGTCAGCCTGGAAGGCCCAACCCATGGGACTGAGTAACTCCTCCCTAAGTGGCCAGCCGAGGATGAGGTGGCTTTCCTGAATGAGCCCATCCAGGGATTTAGGGAGGGGAAAAGAAATTAAACCAGAGGCATGGTCAGTTTTCTCACAAGGAAAGCCAAAATGGAAGAAATCAAAGGGGACAGCTCTCTTACAGAAGGAGGTTCAGCACATGAGAGATTCAAGGGGTGGGGAGAGGTAGTTTTCATATCATAAGGAAGAAAAATGTAGGTGGCACACAACACAGCTAGAAGCTATCCAGGGAACTGTCACAAAGAGGGATGGAAGAGGTTACAGCACAAAAATCTAAGTGGATGCCTCCGTATTCCTCTGTGAATATACCAGGCACAGTTTCTCTTCTCTCCCCTGCAGCCAGAACAGAAGGGAGATTAAGTCCTCCCGGTAAGCCAGAATTTCACAGGTGTAGAGGACCTTACCTGGCGCCTCCTCCTCATAAACATGAGGACTTCCAACTTAAAAGAGTAAGACACCAATTGCAGCAGTGTTCTTAGGGGGGGGGGCATCATTACCACACTCTCCCAAAAGCCAGGGAGAAGGGGGAGCTTTAAAGTGGGGCTGCTCCCCCCACAATAGCACCAGGAATGCGAAGAATACCAATCCACCCACACAGTCGCCAAGGCCAGCCACAGATGGAACAGGAGAGTCGAGTCTCTGCCCTCCACTCAGAGGCCTCGGGAAGGGATAGAAGCCCGCAAAAAGAAAGTAAAATCTGAAACAAAGCAGGGGTGTCTATCGTATTCCCACCTCTGCCTTCATCCCCATAAGAAGCTACGGATCTGTATGAGGCCCTTCGGGAAATCCCTCTTAAAAGTCCCAGATCCTTCCCCGCCCCCCAAGAACAAACAGGAAATGCCCCACAGTGCAAGAAAGGCCTTCAAGGGAACTATGCAGGTTAAAATAAGCAGCAACAACTGAATTTTACTATAGTTGTGACCCACAGATTGGCCGACAAGCCATGTGCACAGGGAAGGCCAGTAACTTCACAATCAGTCATAAGGTACACCATCTCTACAAGAAAAGCCAGCTCTGCTGGGAAGTCACGCCCTCTGACCTGGAAACCTTTTCCCTCCAGGCTTGGGACAGCTGCCCCCCCCCCACACACACACACTTCATTTTTCAAATCCCCTTAATGGAAAGACAAGAGCGCAAGCAAATGTTTTGCTAAACAGACAGATCTACTGAGTTAGATGTGGCATCTTCCAATGCTTAGTGATGCACATACAGCAATACGTGCCTGCGTAATGGCAACTCACGCATTCCCCCCCACCAACACAAACAACACACCTACAGGACAAAGTGAAGGTGCGAAGGGAACTCCTAGGCATGTGGTGGAGTCGAGGCTTATTCGTTCTGGAGACTGCCACACATTTCACCTCCTACTCTTTTGGGATGTAAACAGAAAACACTTCAGGGTAAGGACCTGTTGTCCTTCCCCACCACCACCACCACCACCTTTTTGCTCATTTGTGAAATGCACTGCTTGTTTATTATTGTTAATAACTATAATACTGCTGACAGTGACGACCCAGGACACCCCTGTACTCAAAAGCACCGTAGAGTCAACTTGGCACAGACGCCTTCTAGAGCTCGGCAGGCCGAAGTCAGATAAGATTTTATTATTCTCATCTTACCGGGTGTGCGTTTGTGTGGAAAGAGAAGACTCCCACTTCCTACTAATAGTAGGTTAGGGGGTGAAAAGTTTTTTAAACAACCATGATGGGGTGGAAAGGATTCAGATAGCTGCTTATGTCTACACCCTCTTCCCCCCCCCCTCAAACACACAGGGCCCCAAAGCAGCTTCTTCGTTCCACCCTCCCCCACTTTCTCCCCACACCCACAACCCTGTGAGGCGGACAAGGCCCAGAGTGGGGAAACTGGGAAAGGGGATGCCACTCAAGGAGCTTCCAGGGCGGACGGGAGATCTGAACGGGGTTCTCCCAGACCCGAGGCCGATTCTCAGGAAAGAACCTTTCGGCCTGGGCCTAAAGGCTGGAAGGCTTCGATGTTTCAGGACACTTGTTGGCTTGTTTGGCACTCGAGGAGGAAGTCTCGCAGGGTTGTTTTTTGTGGGTTTTTTTAAATGTGAACACCGTGCGTCGTTATCCTTCTTAGGGCCAGGGGGGCCTCAAAAGGCTGGCAGGGGCCCACGCCTCTGCGGATGGACCTCTGGGAGGGACGACTCAGGCGCCGAGCGCTGCTCCACGCTCAGTCTCGGAGGGGGTGGGGAAGGGGTCACGACAAACGTGCCCTGCAATGTGGGCCGGAAAGATAGTTTTTAAAAAAAAAACAACATAAGAGCAAAAAAGGGGAGATTGGGGCGAGGGGAACCCCCCCTTTCTGTTGTTCCCCACCTTGGAGCATTAAAGGGGAGAGAGATCATCTGCAGGCGAGTGGTTTAGAAGGGGCACAAAATGAGTTAGAGGAGAGGGTGGGGGGAGAGGGAGAGAGGAGGGGGGAGGGGGGTACCCGTCTTCTCTCTCCTCCTCCCCGCCCCACCACCACCACCCAGGGCCAGTTTTCGCTCGGGAGCGCCCCCTGGCGTCCTGCCCCCGCCCACCTTCCCTCCGCGGGGCCCGGGCTCCCCCCTCGCTCCGCGTCTCACCTGGCGGGAGTGGGCCTTGGGCTCGGGCGGCTTGAAGAAGGAGTCGGGCAGCTTGCGGAGCCTCATGGGCAGCGTGTGGGGCACGTTGGCGCCCTTGGGGTTCATGACGGCGTTGAAGAGAGCCTCCAAGTCGGTCTCCGAGTCGCCCCGGACGTGGACGATCTGGTGCCCGGCCGGGGGGGCCCCGGACACGGCGCCGGGCTGCTGCTGGGGCTGCGGAGGCGCCCCCGCCGCTTGAGGGGGCTGCCCCGAAGGCGGCTGTTGCGAGGCCGCCTGCTGCGAGGCCGCCGACGGAGGCTGGGGCTGTCCGGCGGGGTCCATGGCTGGCTGGCTGGCCGGCCTCCCTGCTTCAGCCGCTTGTCTTTAAGCAACAGCTTCGGGCTCTCCGTCCCGCATGCCCCGCACCGACGGCGGCCCCGGCTCCGGCTGGCTCCCTGGCTGGCCTCCCCGCTGCCTTCCTTTCCTCCCCCGTAGCCCCGCAGCTCTTCCCCAGCCCCGCCGGATCCGGCCCGTCCGAGCGGCGGAACAAGAATAATAACTAATTGAAAGTTATCAAACTTCGCTGGCGCACAAACACTCCCAAACAAAAGTTCTGAGATCCGCCCGCCCGAGCCAGCTCCGCCCAGCGTGAGCCCGCCCGCATTGAAATCGACGGGACTTAATTCAGGCCAGCCGGCGAGAGCACCTTCCCTCCGCCTTTTATTTTTCTTCCGTCCTTCGCGCCCGACCGCACTGGATTTAAAGAGAAGAACCCGCGCCAGGTTATCGACTACGCACGCGCCTTCAATCTCAGCCACTCGCTACTTTCTTTTAAGTAGACAGGTCGCGATGGGTAGCTGAGTTTGTCTGTAGCAGTAGAAAAGAGCAAGAGACCAAAAAGCCATCTACTTAAGAGAAAAGAGCAAGGGTCCAGAACACCTTAAAGACTAACAAAATATATGGCAGGGTATGAGCTTTCATGAATCACGGCTCAAGCGAGCAGTGACTCACTAAAACTCATACCCTGCCACATATTTTGTTAGTCTTTAAGGTGCTACTGGACCCTTGTTCTTCTCTCTTAACTAGACAGCTTTTTTCCTCCCACCGAAGAGAACCGACTTCGCCGCTTCTTTAGGGCTTTTTTGCTCTGAGTTGGTTTGTGGTTTCTTGCACCCGCCCACACCATTCGTTGTCTTCAAAAGGTTCGGCAACCAAGTGTTTTACTCCTTCCCCCAAAAAGTTTTCCAACCCTCCCACTGGGACGAGGAGGGGATGTTGGGACTATTTTCCCTCTCTCCGCCTGAAAGGGGGTGGGGGGAGGAAAGAGGAAACGGGACCATGATCCGGGATCCAAACCCACGCTGGGGGGGTGGGGAGATGAGAGGAAAGCGTTTTGCATGGAAATTGACGGGACTTTAGCCGCGCAACCCAGGCGAGGCAAGCAGAAGTTGGAGGAGAGAGAAGTAGATTAGTCCTCCTCCCTATCATCTACACAACTTGCCCCCCACCCCGGGGGCCCCAGTCGTGAAGCCGGGCGGCAGCACAGAGGGGGAGGCGCGCTGAGACCCCCCCCCCCGCAGCACAGCCACGGGGGGCGCAACCCACGCGGGCTCCAAGGTGGCTCCGCAGGGCATTTGCAGTGGTGGTAGCGGACGAAAGGGTCTTCCTGGCTCAGGCCGCTGCCGATTATATCTCCACTTGCGTCTGAGTTGGGAAAGGAAGCGCTGCAACCGGGTGAGACTTTTCTCCCGACCGCGCGTTAATGTTTTCACTCCTGAGAGTCGGAGGACAGCCCCCCCCCCCCAATCCATCCCACACACTGAGTTTTCCGAAAGGAAATGCTGAGGGTTTCCGGGGAGCCGGGCGGCACTGAAGCAGCAAGGATAAAGTTGCAGTGCTAGGCTCGCTCACCACGACAAGAATACTATGGGACGGGTTACTTTCCAGTAGACATACTGAGGACTGTGCTTTGGAAATCCCAGATTTACTGGTTTTATAAATACATCCTATTGTCGTTTATGAAAAGGACTTTTCTTCCCACAATTGTGCCTCAAACACTATATCAGAAATGTTACATTTATTTTTTAAGAATTTAAAAGAAATCTGAAATATATGAATTATAAGGAAAAAGAAGACGAGGAGGACTCGTTAGTCAATCCAGTAGTAGCATAACTTTTCTACAATTACTGGTCTGGATACATATATTTAAACACTGATGCAAATGAATAAAAATGGTAAGCATATGAAATACAAATAGTAAGCATACGAAATCGACAGTCCCATGGATTACTGTAACAAAAACAAGACACTGACAAACCTACATCTTAAAAAGTTCATCCACTAATTCAACACCTCTTAAACCAGTCAATTGCAGAAGAAACTTGAACCGAAAGAGTGGTACAAGACGTAGACGTGCCTTTTCGGAGGACTGACGATCAAGTAGGCAAATGTTTGCTCGTGGCTGCTGGATGAGGGATAACAAAGGCCATGAACATCCTAGAAGAAAAAAGATATTGAGACATGAAACTGAAAAGGCAAAGATGGGAAATGTCACTAAATTTGATTTAAAAAAATTAAAAACCTAGAGAGGTGCATAATAAAATGTTACACCACAGTGTAGCAGTATTCATAATCAGTGTTCCCTCTAAGCTGAGTTAGTGTGAGCTAGCTCACAGTTTTTTAGCCTCTGGCTCACAGATTTTTGACTTAGCTCAGAAAGGATGGCTCCAGAACAAACTAATTTATGCAGTAGCCAAATTGCTCGCTCACAACTTTAATGCCAGTAGCTCACAGAGTAGAATTTTTGCTCACAAGGCTCCACAGCTTAGAGGGAGCATTGCTCATAATGTACATTAGAGTGACGTGAACTGGTGGCACTGGCAGAACACCTGCTTGACATTTCCAGTTTAAAAGACTAGGCGGTAGGTGATGCGAAAGACCTCTACTTCAGATCCTGGAGAACGGCTGCCAGACTGAGTAGACTACTGAGCGCAAGGTCAGCGGCTGCCAGACTGAGTAGACTACTGAGCACAAGGTCAGATTCGGTATAAGGCAGCTTTGTGTGTTCATGTGAACTCATGGAATAACCCCAGCAAGGTCTTGCTACTATTCAGAGACCAGAGTTATAGAAATAACCAGGGAAACGTTTTGTATATGTGTAACACTTTGTATAAAATTTCAATATAGTATCTATTGCATTATATACAAAATGTTTCCCTGGCTGTTTCTATAACTCTGATCTTGTATCAACTAGGAGGTCTCTCATATATTACTATTCAGAGACCAGCCAGGACCTTCTAGTGTCTTTGCCTGATTCCTCTTTAACCAGTTTACTGCGTTCCAGCTGATGGCTAGTCTGCTGCTGTTTGTGTTTTAATGATTTTCATTATTAGTTTTATTTATTGTATTTGTTGTGTATTGTGGCATGTATTGCAATTCCTTTATTGTAAACTATTCTGAGCAGAGTTTTTTTAAAAAAAACAGGGACATAAAATACCACCACCACACAATAGCTAGAACTGAATGAAAGGAAATTAATGGCACTCTTGAACTTGCAGTGCCACTACCGCAACGCTGCAATAAAGGACGCAGCCCTGCTTGCATTCATCTTCAGCCTCCAAGCATCATAACATTTTGAATCAGCGCATCAGAATCGCTATGGTATCCATACTATAAGGCACCTTCCCACTGTATGATTTTTATGCTGCAGACTAGGTTGTCTCTCAGTTGTGGATGTGTCTGATGGTGAAAGGAAAGTCCGATGCTGCAAAGAAAAGATTGAAGGTCAAAGAAGACGGGGACGCCAAGGATGAGATGGTTAGACAGTGTCATAGATGCAACGAACATAAAGTCGAGCAAACTTCAGAGGACGGCAGAAGACCGGAAGGCCTGGCGTGATCTGGTCCATGGGGTCGCGAAGAGTCGGACTCGACTATGCGACTGAACAACAACAACAACAAAAAGGTTGTTTCTCCTGGCAACTGGAAGGGGATGGGGGGACTTACTGGGAATGGGAGGGAGGCCCAGCTGACATTGCAACGATATGTCTGTCACTTCTGACATGACCTGGAAGTGACATCATCACACTGCACTGTCCAGGTGACGTTCTGGTATTTGGGCAAAATCTCTATGGTAAATTTGGCTTCTATCATAGAGTTTTTGCTCAAATATCAGAGCACTGCCTCAACATGATGGTGTCCCTTCCAGGTCACATTGGAAGTGATGTAAACATGTTCCTGCAACATTGACTGGGCCTCGCTCTTTTTCTGGGTAAGCCCCCCACCCTTGCTGGCCAGCTGATTGGTGGCAGGGGACTCCTGCATCCACCAGGGGGTTCTGGCAACCTTACTGCAGACTCTCAGTCTCAACAGTTATTTGACAGCAAGTCCCACTGACATCTCATTTCCACTCATGTGCTTAGTGTTAAACTGTCATTTTTAAACGGTTCCCTGGCTTTAGTGGCAGTTATTCCCTTGTGTTGGGTGCATGGGATGGCAGCCATAGCTGACAAGCCAACACAGACTCAGCTGATTGAATACCTGTACTCTTGTTTTCAGCTTCAAAATGAATTTTCACATCTATGAAATTATATCTTTCTTTATACATATCCAACTTTTCTCTTGGGGATCCAAAGGAGTTCACAAAATCCCCCCCCCCGCCAACAACCCCCCTGTGAGGTGGGTGAACCTGAGAGGGAGTGACTGGCCCAAGGTCACTCAGCAAGCTTCCAGGGCCTAGTGGGAATTTGAACCTGATATCCCAGAGCTTAGTCCAACATGCTAACCATGCCGGCTTTCAGTTCTCTCAAAAATACTGTCTCTTCAGGGTTTAGGAGCCTCCTAATCCTGTGTGTTCATTTTTACAAATTACTTTCTTTGCATTGCTCTATTACTGTGCATTGCTTCAATCCCCATTGCAAGGTTCTGGCCCAGTTTTTTACAAAAGCTCCTAGCCATTCTATTTAGAAGAAGAAGAGAAGAGATTGGATATATACCCCGCCCTTCACTTGGAGTCTCAGAGCGGCTTACAAACTCCTATCCCTTCCCCTCCCCACAACAGACACCCTGTGAGGTGGGTGGGGCTGAGAGAACTCTGACACAAACTGCTTTTTTTCAAGGACAGCTGTGCCAGAGCTTGTGACTAACCCAAGGTCACATCAGCAGGTGCAAGTGGAGGAGTGGGGAATCAAACCCGGTTCTCCCAGATTAGAGTCCGCACACTTAACCACTACACCAAACTGGCTTTAATTGAAGTTTTGAGAGTATATCATATCCTTTGTATGCTGGTAACAATTTGCTGTGGCAAAAAAGTATCCGAAATTAAACTGATGCAGTGGCTCTTAACCGGGTTCACGTGCAGGTGAATTTTAAAAATGAAAACCATTGCTGCTATCACAGCTCTGACAAATGGAATGCATGTACTTCACTAACATATTTTTGTTAATCTAGTCTGTGGATTGTACAATGATCAACATGGCATAGATCGTTAAGTACCTTAAGCATCACCTTCTTCCATACGAACCTACCCGTCCACTCTGGTCATCGTCAGAGGCCCTGCTTCGGGTACGCTTGCCAGTCCCCAGGTCGGGGTGGGGGTTCCCCCGATTTCTGAGGCTTCAGTCTGCCGCTGGCCAGGGAACCCCATCCCGAAACAGGGGCGTTCCGGCACGACGTCCCTGAAGTGATGACGCTCTGGTTTGAGGGCAAAACTCTATGGTAAATTTGCCTACAAACCATAGAATTTTGCTCTCAAACTAAAGCATTGCTGGTACAATGTCGGCAGTGCAATGACATCACTTCCAGGTGATGTCATCGTGTCGGGGGATGTCCCGGAATGCCCCCCCCCCAACACCTAGCTTCTGGTGCCCTGGCCATCTGAGGCTAGATGGGTGGTAACCTGAGAAAGGGCCTTCTTAGTCATGGTGCCAAAAATCTGGAACTCCCTCTCTCTGTTGTTGTCTTCCACCAGTGGGTGAAGTCTTTTTTGTTTTGTTTGCTATACCCCCAATAACTGTTATTGGCCCTCCTCCCTGGTTTTGGTATTCTGATGTTTATCTTTTATTGAATGATTTTACATATTATTTTAAATGCTGTTTTAATGTTCAAATGGTTTAATATTTCCATGTTTGTCACCTTGGGCACCCTATTTGGGTGGAAAGGCAGCATATAAATGTTTTTTTAATACAACAAATAAATAGATCTATTTAGGCAATAGTGGTCTATGGAACACAGTAAACAGATGGACCTTTTCCAGGTTGCGTCCTAATTATGAGGCTACTAAATGACGAACTTTCGAGGAAGGGAACCCTTTACCTTTAAATTGGATTTGACATCCACTCTGAGGCTAAATATTCCACACCTGTTTTAATCTATATTGTTATTACTCTTGAGTGTTTAGGATGCAAGTATCGCCCTGTTTGCATCATTTTCTTCCCACACTTCATAATCAAAATGGCTACATACTACATTAAATGCAGTAAGTGAGGGGGGAAGCATTCAGTAATAGAGCAGGACGCTGAAAGCTTTCTGTGTTGGGAAACATTTAAGACTCTTATCAGCAAGTAAATCAGATTTAATCAGAGTATTGCAGGTGGAGTGCAACCGCTGCAGTTGCAGAGGTACTTTCAGTAGTAATTTCTGCAATAAAACAATAAAAATAAAGGGCTGGTCTACATATGCAACAGAATGAGGCAGCAGAATGGACTGCCACTTTAGAGTGTACCTTGGGGAGTCCATTTTTTAATGTTTCCCCATGTCAGAATTCCTTTAAATTAGCACATAGAATGAAAGGTTCCAGTTTAGTCCTTTGCATGCTGTGCTGGTTTTCCACTTGCTGAGAATCACTAAACCTGGGGACAATGAATTAACATACATAGGTTCTCACCTGCAATCTGAAGTCATACACCCACCCTTTCTTAATCAACTCCTCCCTTTTCCCCTTACATTGAGATTTACACTTCAATGACTCAGTGATACTCCTCTTGACGCCTCCAACCCGCCCCATAAAATTTCCCAGTCTGATTTTCCATCACATATCTATCTGAAGAAGTGGGCTGCGGACCTCAAAAGTTCACCCTGAAATAAATGTAGTTAGGCTTGAAGGTGCCACTAGATTTTTATATTGTATAGAACGGCCCTTAAATTGCTAGCATGGTCTTCTGTTCCACCAATCCGTTGACTATCTTATCTCATTTGTCTTTTTCATATGGCAATCAACCTCCCCAGCCTACAGTCTCACTCTCTGCCCTGCATTTTCTTGTGAACTACATAGCATTATCTCATTAATTCTGCAAACGACAAATAGGTCAGTATTATTCCTCTTTCTCAGATGAATTCGGGGTATTTTTCTTCTACGTGGCCCTAGTTGCTTAATTTTGACTACCTGAAGAGTCAGAGAAAGGCATCTTCGGCTTAGAAGAAGGCTTCAGACTTTGCTGACCAGAGCGGTAAGACCTGTTTTGTCTGATTTGCTACATTTAAAATGCAGCTGCAAACTAG